TATTTAGCCTTATTGTCAGGATCCACATGGTACAGGATTTATTCACTTCTTGACAATTGCCTATATATGTCCTTACAAACATAAACAAAATATTATAAGTTATATGGTTAAGTGGGCATGGGTCATTTGTTAAGTATATTATAAAACCTAAAAGATATATAAAATTTTTGTGATTGGCTGCAAAGTTATGTATTTTTTTTCACCAGTGACCAGAAACTAAGTTTTTTGGGGTATATAGGAATCCCCCTGTCTGTCTGCTGTATGTCTATTCATGAATCTTGTAATCCAACTCTTCTGAACATTTTTAGATTAAACTTTACACAGACATAGAAAACTATTGTATTTCTGACATGTAAACATCTACTGACTTATAAGCGAGACGACTTTTACTTAAGTATGTACCTGTGGAGGAGTATAAAGGGATATAACCCCAGTCTAATATGTTAAGGCTATATTTGGTGTATAGAATGATTGTAAAGAGTATCGATATCTATCGATCTTGCAGAGTTCAAATGCCTTTAACCTCATAGTTCATTTGTCAATATTAAGTTGCTGTGATTAGGTCTGTTTTTGAGAGACTATATATCCACTGTATTAGTATGGTGGTAATATTGTCTTCTACAGTACTGCGACTCTTTTCAGAAAAAACTTGCAATTAAAATTGATCGTAAGTTATACTGAAATGTGTATGACTTACAAGTATTTTTACTCTTAAGATTTTTTGTGAAAAGAGCCACTGGATTCTGAGAGACTATATATCCACTGCATTAGTATGGTGGTAATATTGTCTTATACAGTACTGGATTATGTGGGTTTGTAATCTCTCCCAGGTCAAACCAAAGACAAAAAAAGTGGTTTTTGCTACTTCTTATGATTAGGAGTACCCGGTCAAAGCCAAGACTTGTCTAATCAGAGTCAAAATAATGTGTCCAGATATAGGGACATGTCTTCCTGCAAACTGTTACCTTGTGAACATGTAGGTTAAAATCATGCTCAGCTTTATTGGTTTTGTGGTAAGGTACTCTCCTTGAGTACAGGACCATGTGGGTTGGATCATCTGCCAGTAAAACCAAAAACGTGAAAATTGGTATTTATTGCTTCTCTGCTTAGCACATGGTATATAGGAGTAACAGCAAAGACTGGACTCTTGTCAGAATAGGACGATTGGTGGACATGTCTTCCTGTAGAGTGTTTCCTTGAGACTAGTTCATTAAAAGCTAGAAAATGTGGTATGATTTTCAATGAGACAATTATCTACCAGAGTCAGATGACTTGGATTTGAGCAACTATAGGTCACCTGAGTATGTCTTGGTCTATAGAATCCTTTTTAGGTCTTCAATATAAAAAAAAGGAAGATGTGGTATGATTGCCAATGAGACAACTCTCCACAAAAGACTCAATTACATTTATTGTTTTCCCTAGAGAGTTTATGTATGTTGGACCCCTTGAATTAATAAAGATATCCTTTAATTAAAACTCGAAACCCATAATTACTTGAACATGCTCCCATCTTGCAAAATTCATGACAACCATTCTTTTAGTCACTGCCCCAATCACAAAGAAATTGTAGGAAAACACAGACATAGTTTGTCTGACATGATTGGTTGACCTTAACATAGTTTGTCTGACATGATTGGCTGACCTTAACATACCTGTAATAAGATCTTCATCTCAAAGACTCAGCTTTGTTATATTTCCAAAACATTATACTTCATTATGTCCTACAGTTTCATTATTCATAGTCAATAAGTTTACCAGTCTCATCTTTCACACAACTTTGTATATATAATAAGTATTTGTAATGACATAAAAATTAATGTATACCATAAGTAAACAAAATTTATTAAACCATGAGATAGGTCTTGAATATATTTTGAAAATTTGAAAGTGTAAGTAGTTTTCAACCATATACCTTTTGATTTATAATTAGCTACAAGTCACTTCATCTGTGTATGGTTGTCTCACTTTTTCCTAAATGATGGTCTTCCATACAGGAAGTTCATAAGAATATGTTTATACCTGATCAACATAATCGATTAACATTTAAAGGATATCACCAGGTATCATACCTAAACATTTAAATGACCTGATTATACAAGAGAATATGATATATTGATTATTTTCTTAAAAATAAATTAACTGGTTTTTTGTTGAGGTAAATTTTATTTGCTGTAAATGTTGACTTATTTGTATTTAATTGAATTTTGTAAAAATAAACTTAGATCATACTATTACGAAGACCAGTTAACCTTATTCTTATCATACCCCTAGATCTCTTTGGACAAATACACATGCATCTAGTTATATCTCCTTTTTGTAAAGTTAATAAAGAAAAACACCCAAATATACATGGGTGATATATTCTGCTCTATCCTATCATTGTAATAGGCCATTTTAAACATTGTTAGATAGTCTATGATATTGAATATCAAATGAACAATGAAATATTCTGTTTTGATTTTCAGATGGAAATCTAGTTTTTGATTTGGGGTCATACAGGGTCAGACAGGTTGGCTGCTTCAGCTATTATCATCCATTAATTTATAAACCATTCTATCTGTGCTTTTCTAATTTCATTTGTTCTTACTGATTAAAAAATAGTGGAAAAGTTAGATATTTAAGATTTTCACCTTTGTCATTCAGGAGTTTATAATGATCCTTAATTGATTGGAAAATCCCACTTTGTGTCTTAATGGTGCAATATCTTAACCCTAGGCCTTCAACCATAGATGTATAAACCCATAGATAAAGCTGTCAAAAGTTCCCTACTGTTCTCTATTGTTAGATAAAAAGAACCATGACCAAATTGACTGTCTTTGATGTTTCATGTGTGTTGAAGTTGAAGATGAATTACACTTTACCATAAAATGAACCAAACTCAATGATTTGAGGAATAATTTTTTTCAGAATATTTCAGATATTTTACCATCTTTCAATAATCTTTTAGACATTGAAAAATTCTATTTCATATTTCAAAGTAATGATTATGATGTCAGTAAATGTTGCATAAAAGGTATTAATGAGATGTACAAGTTCAGACGTTCACTAACTTAAGTTATTTTATGTTTATATTATATAAATTGTATTACTAGTATCTAAAACTGTACCTCCTCAGTCAAATAGATAGAAGGAAAAAAAAAATCAAAAAATTTCAAGATTTTATATATATCTCTTCATATATTTTTTTTTTATGTTCTGTATTGATATATAATTGATTGTAATGATTAATGTTTGTTCTTTGTTTGAGTGTTGATGACAATCCAGATTTTGGATTTTATTTGTCATATATATTATATACATTATATATATATCAATAAAATCTTTGACTTTGACTTTGTGTGTTGTCCTCAATCAAGTAACTTATGCTACATCTCTTATCTGGTTGATCTGTATTGACCAGTACAGCAGAATAGAGTTTCTTAATTGTCTTCTCGAGTTATGTCCCTTCTGTTGTGAGAGTATGTCTATTTTAAGCGCACTGGACTGACAAATAAAATAGTGAAAAAATGGATGAAATCGGTCAGAAATTTCACATTTTACAAGGGATATATTGAACTAAATTCAAAAATGCTTTTATAAGGCTTGTATCTTTAAATTTTATAAAAACTATGTTCCTGTTAGTTCCTGCAAATGGGAATAGCACGTTGTTGAACTTCTAAAATAACCCTTTTCTTTGATATGCTTTATTAAGGTGTCGAACTGCGTCGAATTAGGGAAAAAATTAATAAGAAAGTACAACATTCTTTTCTGTATTTCATCTGTTTTTCTACATTTTTAGAAGAGAAATTGTCTTTTTAAATCAATTTTATATTTTTACAAATAAGTTATTTACTAAATCATAGATGTATTTTATACATCTATGGCTAAATTATAATAATTTCATTCATGATGTTTATTAAATTAGTATAAGTAAACAGTTTTAGTGTACTACCAAAACATTCCATGTAAGGCATGCTAAATAAATATTATGGAGCATATATATTCAACTTTTCCCATGTTTTCAATTAATTATATTTTCAATAGACTTGTTTATAATAGTTAACATACATTGTTTAAATGAAGTTAAATTGTGATAAAAGATATAAAATCTAAAAATGTAAATATGATGAAAACGTTAGTTCTGGCTAAAAAAAGAAAGATATCTGCATTTATTAATTTCTTTTCGAGAATAATTTGTAATATTGTTTTACCTATAAGAACATTATTTTTTCATAACCAAGTTATTCTAAAATATATATTTTGATTTTGTTTCTTTCTGATTTATAGAATGTTTAACTGCTAAATAGCCTGTAATTGTTAGTTTTCTAATGTCGAGATTGTCAATCGGAATCTCAATGACCATCTGGTTCATGTCATTATCAGATAAGTTTGAAAGCCATTACCCTCATAGAAACTTTGAAGTCAGTGTTGAGCTTCTTCTATGGGTTTATAAATCTATGCTTCAACCAATGCTTTTCACATTTTAATATGTTGTTACTGATGTCAAAATTGAAGTCAAGTTTGATATTGAGATTTTACTTTTGCCATTGAGGAGATATGGCCCTTAATTGATTACAATTTAACAATGACACTGAAAGATGTAATAATAGCCTGGTTTGCTGCCATTTTGACAGATGTTTTTTTATGCTCCTTTTGTTATTCAATGGATTGAAAAGAACAATAAAGAACAATTACTAATGTTATAATGTTATAACAGAGGGCAACATATTGTGTTCTTATAGCACAATAAAGAACAATTAATAATGTTATCACAAAGGGCAACATATAGTGATGGTATAGCTCAATAAAGAACAATGAAGAACAATTTATAATGTTATAACAAAGGTTCTTATAGCACAACAAAGAGAATTCTTTCCAAAGGGTAATGTATTGAATTCTAATAACATTAATGGACAGGGAAGGAAGATGAAAAGAACAGTGAAAGGGACAAGGATAATTCATTAGAGGTTGAGAACAAATCCAAAGTCTTTACATATAAACATGCTTTCTTTGTATTTCAGTGTTGGAAGAGGAAAGATAAAAGTGTTCTCACTGAAGGTTGCTTTGTCACATATGTGTGCTGGAAAATTGGTGGACAAACTGAGATGTAAGAAACCCTGGATATCAAATAAAGTTACTTCTTGTTAGCAAACTCATTAGGAAAATCTTTCCCTAAAGATCACTTCTGAATTCCCTTCACAGTTTTCCTCTGCATAGTGTTCAAAAATTTTTGATTTTTTTTTTTTTTTTTTAAATCAGAGTATTCAAAAGGTTGCTAATGACATAAATGTAATATGAAATATTAGTAACAAATACATTTGGCAATACACAAAAGACTAGCCAGCTTAGTCCCGGTATGGGTGATAAGTTTCAGGAGGTTTTCTGCATTTTTATGGATCATAGGTAAACCTTAACTCTAAAAAAACTATGGAAATTTAAAAAAAACCTGTTTATGTAAAATTACACTATGTAGAGATAGTAGAGCATGGTTGTATCAGTCTATCTATTATATTTATATTTTTATGGACAAAGAGAAATAACTCAAATATTTCCTTTATTTGTTTCTTTGCTAATTACTTTTTGTACAATACAATCTTTAGTTTTGAAGTTCACAATGTAAATAAAAAACAATCTGTACTCACTCTGTACTCACTCTGTGCTCAATAGCATTTTGATTTTAATAAATGTACCAACATACACAAACGTTTGGATTTAGTAAAACATGCATATGAGAGTTTAGGACTTACTTTGAGTTTCCTGCCTATATCTGTTAGTATTCTTTGAGAAAGTAGTGCTTTGTATTGTTTTTTGTTGATAATTTTATCAGTATTAAAGAGTGCTTGTTCTGAATTAATTTTCGTAGTATGTTCAAACCTTCTGTACAACATAACGAAGGGAGAATTGAGTGCTCATAAACTTGTTAAACCTTTTCATATTTCCATGTAGGGATCCTACAAGTAGTCTTAATGACAGCGTCTTTGGTATCTGCAACATTGGCGACATCAACATTTGGCCTTTTAGGGCCAGCCTGTGGTCAAAGTTTTTTTTATATAAATAATTTTTCAAACCTTTATATATATTATATAAAATTTGGACAGCAGCTTTTTTAATGGCCAAAAGACACTATCCTGAGCAACATTTAAAAAATATTTTATGTTCATTTTTCTGTATTTTACTGATAAAAGGGCTTAGTTTTTGTCGAGCCTGCGACTTTTGTCGCAGAAAGCTCGACATAGGGATAGCGATCCGGCGGCTACGGCGGCGGCGGCGGCGGCGTTAGCTAACTTCTTAAAAGCTTTATATTTTAGAAGATGGAAGAGCTGGATGCTTCATACTTTGTATAAGGATGCCTCATGTTACGAAGTTTCCATCAGTCACATGTCCAATGTCCTTGACCTCATTTTCATGGTTCAGTGACTACTTGAAAAAAAAGTTCAGATTTTTTGTAATGTTAAATTCTCTCTTATTATAAGTAATAGGATGTGCGTACCTTGCAAGGTCTTCATGCCCGTCAGACAGTTTTCACTTGACCTCGACCTCATTTCATGGATCAGTGAACAAGGTTAAGTTTTCGTGGTCAAGTCCATATCTCAGATACTATAAGCAATAGGTCTAGTATATTCGGTGTATGGAAGGACTGTAAGGTGTACATGTCCAACTGGCAGGTGTCATCTGACCTTGACCTCATTTTCATGGTTCAGTGGTTATAGTTAAGTTTTTGTGTTTTGGTCTGTTTTTCTTATACTGTATGCAATAGGTCTACTATATTAGGTGTATGGAATGATTGTAAGGTGTACATGTCTAGCTGGCAGGTGTCATCTGACCTTGACCTCATTTTCATGGTTCAGTGGTCAAAGTTAAGTTTTTTGAGTTTTGGTCTTTTTTTCTAATACTGCATGCAATAGGTCAGCTATATTTGGTGTATGGAATGATTGTAAGGTGTACATGTCTAGCTGGCAGGTGTCATCTTACCTTGACCTCATTTTCATGGTTCAGTGGTCAAAGTTAAGTTTTTGAGTTTTGGTCTTTTTTTCTAATACTATATGCAATAGTTCAACTATATTTGGTGTATGGAAATATTTTATGATCTATATGTCAGTCACGCAGATTTTATTTGACCTTGACCTCATTTTCAAGGTTCATTGCTCAGTGTTAAGTTTTTGTGTTTTCGTCTGTTTTTCTTAAACTATAAGCAATAGGTCAACTATATTTGTTGTATGGAAGAATTGTTAGCTGTACATGCCTGCCTAGCATGGTTCATCTGACCTTGACCTCATTTTCATGGTTCATTGGTCAATGTTTAGTTTACTTGGTTAATGTGAAGTTTATGTGACAGTTGTAATAAAGCTTTATATTTAGGACTATCAACATAATATCAATGATTAGTAAAGAAGGCGAGACATTTCAGCGTGTGCACTCTTGTTTTTACAGTTAACATTTTCATACAGTCTTAAGTTGAAAGATTTTCAGTCAATAATTTTGTCAAACCTTCATGGAATATTATATAAATTGAAGAGAAGCTTTTCAATGATCAAAAGACAATATCCAAATTCATTTTTCCGAAAGGTGGACTTTTTGCAGTTAACATTTACAGACAGTTTGGGATTAAATATTTTTGACAAGATGAATTTTGAAACCTTCATGATTGTTATGAAATTTGAACAGAAGCTTGTCTTCAAGATCAAGAAAATGCATACAAGGAAAAAAGCTTGATTTTTAAAATTGTAATAAATGAACTTACTTTTTACAGTCAACATTACACTTTTTAGCATAAGTCACAGGCGAGGCACAGGGTTCAGCAGAACCCTTTACAAGTATTTTAGTGTATTTTAGGGGATTAGGTATCAGATCGCCTCTGTTTTTAAAATGAATATATATATACAACTTTTCTATTCTAGGGACAATTTACATATCTATGCATGTCTCTTGTTTAAATTCATAGAAAAATCATAAAACATCCGTAAAAAAAACATACAATCTTCTTCAATAGAAACTTAATTTTGGATTATAAACTGGTATATACCGGTATCACAGGTTTATAATTCAACTGGCCTTGCAAACTGTGTAACAATATAACTTGTTTATTCCAGATATTTTCACACAGATATCAGATTCAAGCGGTTGCCTGATTCGTAGCAGATTTATTGATTACCTAAAAGATTTGCTTGCCTTACCCACAGCAGTATTTGAAGGGCCTTCATTCGGATACAACGACACTGCCTGTAGAAGTTGTTTTGACAATGTAAATATTGAACACTATAGAATTGGGAAGGTTTCTTGCTAAGATTAATTTAAGAATAAGAAGATGATTTATGATTACCAATGAGACTACTATCCACTAAAGTACAAGGATGTAAACAAATACAGATCAAAGTACATCCTTCAACAATGACCAAAACTCATATATCCTGTAGTAATCTAGATCACTGTACACCCTTCAACAATGACCAAAACCTATATATCCTGTAGTAAGCTAGATCACTGTACACCCTTCAACAATGAACAAAACTCATATATCCTGTAGTAAGCTAGATCACTGTACACCCTTCAACAATGAACTAATCCCATATATCCTGTAGTAAGCTAGATCACTGTACACCCTTCAACAATGACCAAAACCCATATATCCTGTAGTAACCTAGATCACTGTACACCCTTCAACAATGAACAAAACCCATATATCAGTCTTCGCGCTAAGCCTCAGGCCCACCAGCCCAGGCTTGAAAAAATGCTGTCGGGCCTGTAAAAATCATCTCTACAGGCCAATAGAATCTAACTAAAATTTTCATAAAATTCAGCTTCGGGCCTGTAGATTCAAAAGTTTATCATGAAGACTGATATATCCTGTAGTAAGCTAGATCACTGTACGCCCTTCAACAATGAACAAAACCCATATATCCTGTAGTAAGCTAGATCACTGTACACCCTTCAACAATGAGTAAAACCCATATATCCTGTAGTAAGCTAGATCACTGTACACCATTCAACAATGAACAAAACCCATATATCCTGAAGTAACCTAGATCACTGTACACCCTTCAACAATGAACAAAACCCATATATCCTGTAGTAAGCTAGATCACTCTACACCATTCAACAATGAACAAAACCCATATATCCTGAAGTAACCTAGATCACTGTACACCCTTCAACAATGAACAAAACCCATATATCCTGCAGTACCCTAGATCACTGTACACCTTTCAACAATGTGTCTAATCTATGCAATGCGGGCCAGTAATTTCATTCATTTAATGTTATGTTAACAAAATGAACAAACATTTTAGACGATTGAAATTACTGGACTTAAAGAGTATGTTTGTCTGGCTGCACCTCGAGTAAATAATTTCTTTATTGCTAGAGTTTGCTGTTGGGGTACATAGGTTTTTGTGAATGATTTCTGAATTCTCATATTTGTTTTCAGAGAATACAGATTTTTGTGAAAGAATTCTGAGTTCTCATGTTTGTTTTCAGAGAACACAGTTTTTTGTGAATGAGTTCTGAATTCTCATGTTTGTTTTCAGAGAACACAGATTTTTGTGAATGAATTCTGAATTCTCATTTTTATTTTTCAGAGAACACAGATTTTTGTGAATGAATTCTTAATTCTCATGTTTGTTTTCAGAGAACACATATTTTTGTGAATGAATTCTGAATTCTCTTGTTTGTTTTCAGAGAACACAGATTAATGTGAATGATTTCCTCAATGCTTTAATGGCTGATCCAGGGCCACAGTGTCTGATGTGGTTACCGATTCTCAATAAAATGGCTCATGTTGAAAATGGTGAGTTAATATTAGTTTGACAAGTATTTGATAATCAAGAAATTCAATTCTTTTAAATATTTTGATAATTTTAAGTTGCTGGCTGTCATCTTGACATCTGTTTTTCTATTAAAGCTGTAAATAGGAAAAATAAGTTATTTATCTAAGCTAATATGACTTGTTATCCTGACAAACCAAAAGTTCTCATCTATGCTAAAAGTCTTCTTTGTTCGATTGTCATTTCTACATAGTAAATATTATGTATATTCAAATTTCAGTACTTAAATTTTGTTTAGATAAACTTCACTGTTACATTGAAAAACTAATGAAATGATTTGCAAGTTTAAACTTAACAAAAGAGTATGATTAATCTTATGGAAGGAATACATATATACTGTATACTATTAATTGCCTCAGAGAGTTCCTAATACACATTTTTAAAATTCAGGGTATATACTCTAACCAACCTTAATTTTATTCCAGTTGACCTAATAATGTTTGCAAATCAATGACTTTTAGTTGTGATGAAATCAATTTACAGGAAAATATATTTCATACTTGCAATTGTGACAAACACAAATGTTTGTGAAATAAACTCTTAAGTATACTCTATATGTCTACCAGAAGAATATTTAATATTGCTGTATTTTTTTTCAGTCTTTCATCCTGTACAGTGTGAAGGTTGTCACAGGGAATCATTTATGGGGTTCAGATACAAATGTCAAAGGTGCTATAATTATCAACTATGTCAAGATTGTTTCTGGAGAGGTCGGACATCGGGTAACCATGGCAATGATCATGAAATGAAGGAATATACGACCTATGTAAGTGATCTAAATAAAACCATTTTTATGATTGGGTATATAAACAAGAGAGAACCTGCCTTAAATTCTGACTTCTATCAGGTACAAAATATGGCTGCTTCATAAATTCAATGAGATGTTGGTTATATGTCAATGTAAGCAAACCTTAAACATGAAACAACACAACAGACATATAAAATGGAAACATATGGTCTGCAACAAGGCAAAACTGTCTGTACAATTTGTCAAGTTTAAGATCTGATTCAGTCGGAGTCTAGACCAAAAATTTGCCATTAAATTCTGTATTGGACGAAAACATTGGGATATAAACAATTACAGTGGCTGACAAGGTTCCTGATCTTGGAACTGACACATTAACATGTGTTTGTGTAAAACTAGGTTTTAGTTCAGGTCAACAAAGTTGTGAATTAAGCAAACTATAATTAAGTGTTTGTTTAATCACAGTATAATGTATAACCAAGAGTGAAGTTGCTGGCACATAGTTTGTAAACAGACATGAGCCTCTAGTTCAGTGGTTGTTGTTGGTTCATGTCTGTTATATTTGTTTTGCGTAAATTATTTTGTTATGAATTAGGCCGTTAGTCATCTCAATTGAATTGTTTCATATTTTTCATGTCATGGCCTTTTATAGCTATATTTGCTTACGTCCACTTCATTTGAACTTTGGTGAATAGTTGTCTCATTGGCATCCATACCACATCTTCTTATTTTTATACTGTGTGTTAGAATGTTGTATTTTGAACAAGAATACTAAAAAATAATTTAAAACTGTAAAATCTGTACATTCTATCACATGGGTTATGTTCTTCTCATATATTTTATGATGGTATAATACTAAACCCCTATCAGGAGGGATTGTGCCTGATATTCATATGATGAAGACATAATCTTTCAATCAGTTTAATTGAGGTGTGGAGCTGGCATGTCAGTAACTGCTAGTAGTCTGTTGTTATTTATGTATTATTGTCATTTTGTTTATTTTCTTTTGTTTCCTATTCTGACATCGGACTCCGACTTCTCTTAAACTGAGTTTTACTGTGCATACTGTTGTACGTTTGTTTTTTCTACATTGGCTAGAGGTATAGGGGGAGGGTTGAGATCTCAAAAAACATGTTTAACCCCGCCGCATTTTTGCGCCTGTCCCAATTCAGGAGCCTCTGGCCTTTGTTAGTCTTGAATCATTTTTAATTTTAGTTTCTTGTGTATAATTTGGAGTTTAGTATGATGTCCATTATCACTGAACTAGTATACATATTTGTTTAGGGGCCAGCTGAATGACGCCTCCGGGTGCGGGAGTTTCTCGCTGCATTGAAGACCCATTTGTGGCCTTCGGCTGTTGTCTGCTCTATGGTCGGGTTGTTGTCTCTTTGACACATTCCCCATTTCCATTCTCAATTTTATCAATATGGATAATATCTTTTATTAAGAATACACATTTGTATATTTAAGAATTAATTATGTGTTTAAATATAAAAACATGATAGATACTAAAAACAAATTTTGTTAAAAAACAAAAAAGAGAAATTCTATGTAGAATATATTTTTAAAAATGATTAGATTTTCTTAAATTTATGTTTAATTTTCTTCTCCTATTCTTACAGAAATCTCCTGCCAAACAGATTGGTCATGCATTGAAGAAATCTTTGAAATGTGTGCCAAAATCTAATGCACATGTTCCACAGTTCCCAAATACACCAGAAAAGAAATTAGATCTGTCTTATATTATGTAAGTGGAGTCACATGATCATCTTATACAGCTGGAGGTTGTTTCTAATGAAATATATGAATCAGATAATTGACAAGTGGAAGAAAAATTTGAAGGTTGTAGAGAATAAAAAACATTTTTATGGTGCTTTAAAAAATGTAAAGGTCATTTCAATGTTAAGACCACTAGGCACAACCCACTAAAAGTTGCTTTACTGTGACAGTATTTGAATAGATATATGATCAAGGGGCCAAGTATTTTATTCAGCAAAATATTCAAAATATCTTGTTAGATACTAACTGTAAATTGGTCTTCAACTGAGTCAAGTCGGAAAGATTTTTTTATAATGGAGAAAAATTGAGCATGAAATAAGTTTAATGTTGATTAATGTATTTCAGTAATCTACCATTTGAAGAGATATTGGAGCTATTAAAGTATGTCTGGAATGTCTGATCAGTTATCTTACCTACAGTTTGATTGGACACTATTGGTGTCTTCTTTTCTTACAATTATATTTTGACGAATTTGAAAGTTTTCACCTTTTTTTCCCAATAAAATGTTTGATATTTGTTGTATAACAGCTCAGTTGAATTTTTGGTCAGGGTATGAATTTATCAAACTGTAGGTAATTTTTGTTTTCTTTTCAGTAGGATTTCCTTACATTACTGCATGAGTACAAATATATAAAGACCGTTAATTATACATGTCAACAGAAATTTTCAATGCATTTCTGGTCTTTGAAAAATGTTAAGTCAGTCCTAGTGTATGATACTAACAATGTATGAATGAAGTTATCTCCTCTTGATTCATGTAGTTATATGAAAGAATTTTTGAGTTTAGAAATTTTTTTTTTAAGATTAGTCAGTCAGATGTTGATTGTTATACTAACATTATTTGAATGAAGTTATCTCCCCTTGATCTGTTGTTGGAATATTTGTTATGTCTCTTTATAAGGAATGGATATATCTGCATGAATATTATAGCAGTAGGGATTAATCAGAATATAATAATAAGTTTAACAGTAATGTTTGAGATGGCAGACCGTTTTCATCAAACATAAATGTTGAAAGAAGATATGCAAGATATCAGATGGTCAACAATGTAAAAGTCTGTACATACTTTGTGTCACTATCATTTGCCCTCTGAAGTCTGTACATACTTTGTGCCACTATCATTTGCCCTCTGAAGTCTGTACATACTTTGTGCCACTATCATTTGCCCTCTGAAGTCTGTACATACTTTGTGTCACTATCATTTGCCCTCTGAAGTCTGTACATACTTTGTGCCACTATCATTTGCCCTCTGAAGTCTGTACATACTTTTTGCCACAATCATTTGCCCTCTGAAGTCTGTACATACTTTGTGCCACTATCATTTGCCCTCTGAAGTCTGTACATACTTTGTGTCACTCTGAAGTCTGTACATACTTTGTGTCACTCTGAAGTCTGTACATACTTTGTGCCACTATTATTTGCCCTCTGAAGTCTGTACATACTTTGTGCCACTATCATTTGCGCTCTGAAGTCTGTACATTAACTCTATAAAAATAATTTTCTCTAAACCAAATTACTTAATTTTGCTTCAATCAGCTTTAGAATTTTTGTTTGTAGAACTTAAAAAAAAAGAATTTCCACCAATAAAAACAAAATTGTGTGAAGGAGAAGAGGTAATAAGGCATGTTAGCACAAACATACTAAATTTGGAGTTTAGTATGGCGTTCATTATCACTGAACTAGTATATATATTTGTTTAGGGGCCAGCTGAAGGACACCTCCTGGTGCGGGAATTTCTCGCTGCATTGAAGACCTGTTGGTGACCTTCTGCTGTTGTCTGTTCTATGGTCGGGTTGTTGTCTCTTTGACACATTCCCCATTTCCATTCTCAATTTTATGTTATGAGAATTACTTCAAATTTGCTCATAATGTAGGCAATCCATAAAATTAAAAAATATAAATGAAATCAACAAAATATGTAATGCATTGATTTCATAATATTCACATTACAATATGTGCATATAACACAATACTGAAGAAAAATCATGATTTTATAGAGTTTTATGCAGTTTTACATCCATATTTCTTTGTGTTAACATTGTCTACAACAAAATAACAATAATTTTAGAGAAGCTTTCTTTAATATAGTTTTTTTACACTGTTCACAAATATAAAGTTGGTATTTTTATGTGCCTATACTTTTCTAATCCAAAATATACTTTCAAAAGTTGATGGAAACCTAGGCAAAATCAAGAAGGGGAGGGATTTCACTAGAGCCCCTTTTCTACCTAAAAGAGAATTACAAAATCAGTGTACTTAAGCTTAAAGATGAAAGTTATTGACAGTCTGTTGATTTGACATTTGTAGATAATAATCCTGTTACTTTTTTTGCTAAACATGTAAGAGTATGTATCTTCTTTGTAGACCACCTACACCAGTCCCAGTAAGGAATGGATACCATGAAACATCCATAGTTACAAGTCACTCACCCGATGTCTTATCAATAGACAGTGGAAACAGTCCTCAAAGGTAAGCAATGGATACCATGAAACATCCATAGTTACAAGTCACTCACAGGATGTCTTATCAATAGACAGTGGAAACAGTCTTCAAAGGTAAGCAATGGATACAATTATACAGCCATAGTTAGAAGTCACTTATCTAATGTCTTATCAATAGACAGTGGAAACAGTTACAAGTCATCCACCTGATGTCTTATCAATAGACAGTGGAAACAGTCCTCAAAGGTAAGGAGAAAATAAACTGATCTCTCTGAAATTATACCACAAGTTTCCATACCACAAAAGGATGGTTAGGATTTGCTTTGGGGGGTTGTGGCTCAAACCGTTTAGGAATTAGGGGCAAAAAAGGGGGAAAAACAAGGGTTTCCTGGTTAATGGACAATTACTTAAGACAATTTAAAAGCAGTGTAAGGGAGGTTATCCAAACAAAACGTTTTGATTACCTCCCTTACACTGCTTTTAAATTATGTATAAAGAAATGTTGTATTGTCTTGAGATGATTAGCTGTCAATTTATTTTTAGAAGTTACTATTAAGGAATATTAATTTTAGCCATGATTATGTATGTCATTTTCTATTTTAAGACTTTTATGATGTATTTAAATGGGTAATTATGGTTGCAAACTCCATAAAAAGAAATTGGAGGGTGGGTCAATTTTTTCTCATTTCAGATTTCAGAAATTAAAAAGAAAAATTCTTCAAATAATTTTTTTTTGCAAAAAAAAAGGGGGGGTCAATATGCAACAGCATATTGTATTGCACAAAAGCAAAAAAAAAAGGGGGGGTAATTTTTTTTTTTTTTTTTTGTGGGGGGAGGGAGGGTAAATTTGCAACAGCAAAGTGTATTGCACAAAAGCAAAAAATTGAATATAAATTCAAATCATATAATCAATTCTAAGTTCTTTGACTACAGTTATTCTGTGTCAGGAACCTATTATGTGTCAAAAATTTAATAACAATCCAAATTCAGACCTGTATCAAGCGCGAATATTGTGTCCATTTTTGCCCCAACTGTTCAGGGTTGGACCTCTGGGGTCGTATACAGCTGTGCTCGGCGAAGCAATTTATTATGATTATCACGGAATACATATCACTTAAAAAAATCTGACACAATGCCATGTATTATGAACAGGAATAATCATTATCGAGGTTGAGGTCAGAGTTTAGGACACATTTAATGCAGTATAACCTCCATGTAAAGCTGTGTGTTCTGTGCCTTCAAGACAGATATGTATATGAACATTTCATCAAAACTTTCATTGTATAAACATTCATTTTTAGAATTAAATTATCTCTTTTATTTGTGGTTTTGTAATTAGAAAGGATCTTCGAAACTGATCACTGATGGGATCAAACCAGAATACTTATTACCCTTGCTTCTCCAAAAGTAAAACCCATACATATTACCCTTGCTTCTCCAAAAGTAAAACCCATACATCAAAAATAAGTACTGACTATTCCAAGGCTGAACAAAATTACAAAATATAATTAAAATCATTGGTCTAGTACATTACATGGTTCATTTCTCAAGGAGATGATTTAAAAAAAAAAAAACAATAGGATTTTATTTAGTGAAGTAAATGATGAATACAATTAGTCTTAATTATGTAAAACCTTCTTTACAAACATACATGAAAAGGAGATCACTAGAAATTTGATAATGTTGGTATATTTTATTTTCATTTTTTCAGTCCAAATAAGCTTACAGAGAGTTTGAATTCTATGTGTATTGATGATGAACATCGACTGATAGCACGGTATGCAGCAAGGTTAGCAGCAGACACAAAAAATGCTGTAAGTACTATACAATTATAACGCTTAACTTTTATCAGTTTTGTCTTGCCTGTGACAAAATTTGGAAGGCATAGCAATCCTAAGTACTCTCAGGGCCATCGTCAACATTTTATGTTCAGTCAGTGGTAAAAGTATTTTAAACATTAATTAAGAAATTTATCAGACCTTTATAGAACCTTGCAAAGCTTGTGCAGAAGCTATTACATGATCAAGAGATAGCAGTCAAGCAAAAGTTTGAAAAAAGTTGTCCTAAATCTTCTTTAAATTATGGATAAATTAAACAATTTTTTTGCAATTATCGTTAGAAACAGTCTTGAGGTTGAAGACTTTTAGACATCAATAACCTTGTCAGACAATCATGGAATTGAGATGAAACTTGGAACAAAAACTTCTTCATGATCACGAGCAATTTTTTTTTCATCTCCATTTACATAATGTAAATACAGAAATTATTACAAATAATGCGAATGGTTGAGTATTGCAATAATAGGAACTCACATTCTAATATCTGATAACTTTTCTGGAAATTGCAATAATTAATCTCTCATTTTTTTTTCAATTTACAAAAATTGCAATAATAAATGCATAATGATAACTAATGTTTGGTTGTTATTAACATTTTGGACTACTGTTGATGGTGTATACTGTCAGTTTGTGTCCAAGCCACCTTTAATCAACCAATCATATTTATATGTATCCATGTATTACAAAAAAAAAGAGACTTAATATTTGTGATGAACTGAAGAATATGAAGATGATATTAATTCATGATACAGTCTGTTCAATGAAAGTATATTGTTATGTAACTATATCACAGCCCATACAAATTTAGCTACACTAAATCAATGTCCTTTCCACCTACTTTTTTTATATTAAAATTGAAAAACCAGCATGTCAGGAAGATTTTTCAAATGTTATCTTCCTTGATATATCAAGGTTTCCTAGTAATTTTTCTGATCACCCTTGATATATCAAGGTATCCTAGTAATTTTTGTTATCTCCCTTGATATATCAAGGTTTCCTAGTAATTTTTGTTATCTCCCTTGATATATCAAGGTTTCCTAGTAATTTTTGTTATCTCCCTTGATATATCAAGGTTTCCTAGTAATTTTTCTGACATCATTTCTTGAGAAGTAAATTATACTGTGCGTAATTAGGATGAAGTAAACTGTTGAATTGTATAATATAAAGAGAATTAACTGCTGACTTTAACAAATAATTAGGGTAGTGTAAATATTGATATTATGTGAAATGGCCATATGTTGCATCAATATATGTCATCTATATCTAGTAACAGAGAAAACTTGTAATCAGTTTTACAATCTCACTTATCACAATGTATTGTTAAAATATGTACAGCATAACTTGCTCTAGTTTTAATAATGCTTTTAAATGGTAATAAAGTGGAGGGGGAAATGGCCTACTCTTTGCTACAGCTTGGTTTCAGATTAAGACTGAATATTTGATTATATGACAATTCTTTCATACTATCATATACTTTAATGTAAGGCTGCTTCTAGAGAGGGGAGTATAACAGCTGCAGAAAAAAATCCAAATAATATGTAATATTCAAGGAGTAGTAGAAAGTATATTACTATTATGGAAATAATGCAACTATTGTATTCACCAAACATATTTGGTGCTCTATATTTTATTGTGTTCTTTTTTCCTTCAAGGGTGTCATTTGGGTCAATATGCATGTTTATTAGTCCCCTACCAACGAAGTCAAAGGGGACTTTAGGTTTGCACTCCGTCCGTCTGTCTGTCCATCCGTCAATCCGGCAAATCAGTTTTCCACACTTTTTTTCTTCCTGCTTGAAGATATTGCTTTGATATTTGGTGTATTGTTTTATCGTGACACGTTACAGATCAAATTCGAATTTTGTTCCGGTCTGATGATTTTGTGCAGAGTTATGGTCCTTGGACTTAGAAAATTCACTCAAATTATCAGTTTTCAGCACTTTTTTTCCTCATGTTTAAAATATTGATTTGATAATTGGTATATAGTTTTATCATGACGAGTTACAAATCAAGTTCGAATTTTGTTCCGGTCTGAAGATTTTGTGCAGAGTTATGTCCTTGGACTTAGAAAATTCACTCAAATAATCAGTTTTCCTCACTTCTTTTCCTCATGCTTGAAGATATTGATTTGATAATTGGTATATAGTTTTATCATGACAAGTTACAAATCAAGTTTGAATTTTGTTCCGGTCTGATGATTTTGTTCAGAGTTATGTCCTTGGACTTAGAAAATTCACTCAAATAATCAGTTTTCCTCACATTTTTCGTCATGCTTGAAGATATTGATTTGATAATTGGTATATAGTTTTATCATGACAACTTTTAGATCAAGTTTAGCATTTTGTTCCAGTACAATGAATTTTTAAAAGGTAGGGGACTATGTATTGCCATGCAATACTCTCAGAATGCTTGTTTCATTAATGGTAGCCGTTTCCCCAATTCCTCTGCCCATATTGTAGCATTAGTTGTGTATGATGGCTTGTTTCGAAACTAAGACAATTTCATAGATATGTGGCTTTATTTTTCTGGGTATGAAGTGAGATTCATTTTCCGTAATTTGTCATTCCCTGAAAGCCCTTTTTATACGCCTGTTTACGGGACGTATTATGGTATACCTTTGTCCGTCTGTCCGTCCGTCTGTCGTCAACATGTCGGACATTAACTCAAAAACGCTTCAACCAATTTGCATAAAACTTTGGTGAATTGTTCACATCTATTGATGTGAGCTCCTTTTCATTTTTTATAAAATTTAGATTTTACGTTTCTGAGTTATGGGGTTTTATTCATTAAAAAACGGGGGATTTTCCAGTTTTCGGACAATAACTCAAAAATGCTTTCACCAATTTGCAAGAAACTTTGGTCAATTGTTAATATCTATTGACATGAGCTCCCTTTTGATTTTTATTAATTTTAGATTTTATGTTTCCGAGTTATGGAGTTTTATTCATTAAAAAAAATGGGTTTTCCAGTTTTCAGACAATAACTCAAAAATGCTTTCAGCAGTTTTCACGAAACTTTGGAGAATTGTTTATATCTATTAGTTTAAACATATTTTATTGTTCAAAATGACAAATGGATCAGACACAAGTTTTACGACTTAGTAACGTCTTCTCCAAAACAACAAAAAAATATACACATTAATTAATGAACACATCAAATATTTCATACTAACAAATGATTTAAGAATAAAGACATGAAAACAAAAGGAAACTTGTTGAAGTGAATCAATGGATTTTAATCGAGTGCATCTTTTTACAGTATAAATAAAACATGAACACACCGAATTGTTTGTGTGGAAGTACCTATACGCAAATCCTTTTTTGTGTAGACATAACTTTAATAAGTTTATATCTATTGATGTAAGCTCCCTTTCAATTTTTATAAATTTTAGATTTTACACTTCGGAGTTGTGGGATTTTATTCATAAAAAAGGGGTGATTTTCTAGTTTTCAGACAATACCTTTAAAGTGCTTTGAGCAGTTTTTATTAAACTTTGGTGACTGGTTTATATCAATTAGATAACCTCCTTTTAGTTTTTCACAAATTTCTGATATGACATTGAGAAGTTATTAAACTTTATTCGTAAAAAATGCGACGAGCGTATCATGCGCTCATGGTGCAGTTGTTTATTGATGCAGCTTCTCAGGGTAAAAAATCCCTATTTTCACGCAAAATGTACTCAATAGCAGTTAATTTTTACATATCAGTTCAAATTTCTGAGATACGAAGTGATCAATATTTCCAAACTTAGTGTAGGCATGATCTTTGGCAGTGTAACTGCCTCCAACTAAAGTTGGTCACATTCATATTTATTTAAAGTTTCACTGACTTTGTTTGTTTATATTATTCATTTGATGTAAATATAAGAAGATGTGGTATGATTGCCAATGAGACAACTCTCCACAAGAGACCAAATGACACAGAAATTAACAACTATATGTCACCGTACGGCCTTCAACAATGAACAAATCCCATAAAGCATTGTCAGCTATAAAAGACCCTGAAATGACAAATGTAAAACAATTCAAACGAGAAAACTAACGGCCTGATTTATGTACAAAAATATGAACGAAAATCAAATATGATATACCGCAACAAACGACAACCACTGAATTACAGGCTCCAGACTTGGGACAGGCTCATACAGAATGTGGCGGGGTTAAACATGTTAGCGAGCCCCCAACCCTCTCCCTAACCTGTGACAGTGGTGTAACAGTACAAATTTGAACAAACTATAATAATCAGTTGAAAGGGCTTAACTCATCAGATAGATACAAAGCAAAAACAGGTAACAAAAACACAGAGTAGACGTGGCAGGGTACTTATACATTCCCACAACAAAAAGAAACTAAGTACAGATCTGAGAGTACTCACGTTACTGACAGCTAGTTCAAAGCCAATAACAACTAATAAAAAAAAATCATGCATCTAAGACTAAAATATCAATCAGTACACATCCAACATCCAATGGATTTAGTGTAACTGTAAAGACGCCATAAACAGTCAGAGAAAAACATGACCTTGTGCAATGCCAAGATACAGGTATCGACAGATTGTAGAGCCATGAATATGCATATGTATATAAAAATTATATTTAGTTTGCTTTTAATTTACCTATAACAAAATCAATATTAATACCAATAAAAACATTATGCAAAGATCTAATTACAGTGTTGAATTGGTAACCTTTTAGAATAAATTTATTTAAAGGATCGATAAGTTTACCTGGATCGTTTCTAAATTTCCAGGCTCGGTAAACAACATCTCCGTAAAAATTAGGATGTGCTATCCTGTTTGAAATAAGTTTTCTACAGGTACAACCAAACTTCAAAACCAAATCTTTATATTTTTTTTTAGTTTGTTTTCCAATAAAATTTTACCTGTAATAATGTATATGCAATTGTCCATAAGGTTACAGCATGGATCCAAATGGAATTATTGAATTTTTATTTTATTATTGCCATGTATAGGTATGATTT